GAAATATTACGAGTCAAAATGGCGGTTTAACTGAAAGATCCCCCCCTCTCTGGCAAGAGGGGGTCTTCAACCTGGCTGCTTCTCTGTCTGCCTTCTTTGGTGACTTTTTCTTAACAACCAAAAACCCAACTGGCTTCATCTTTGTGCATTGACTTTTAAAAACCTCTGTCATGGGCGGAGTCAAGGTTTCCAGCCAGCCAATTGAAACTCTGGTAAAGTTTTTTTTTAACCAATCAAAACGCTTGGAGGGAAAACAAGATTCTTCAGACAAAGAATGGGAGTGTCTCTAGTCTAATTATCTTGCATCTAATTAAAAGGGAAAACATCTGCTTTTCATCATAAGGTTTCCTAAGATTAATTCATGAAATCACACAGTTAAAAAGAACAGAGTGGTCAATCTTTCCCCTTTATTTACTTAAGGTGTGGGATCCTTTGTTCATGCTGGAAGGTTCTTAAAGGAATGTTATGACACCTTTCCTTTCTTTGAAGAAATGTAAATAGATTGTCCTTCTGGGGGTTGGCTGGAAGGTGTGAATGCAACCCTTTCATATTCTTCTGAGGCGCCATACCAGTTGATATGTTAATTTGAGGAAAGGATCCTGCAAGTTCCTTGACAGAAGTCTGCAAAATATACCTGTCCTCTTTCATCAAACAGTCATAACAGTTATATCCATCAGAAATCATAAAATGAGGTAAGAAAACCGCTACACTGCACAACAAGTCTTTTATTGAAGTAATGTATCAAGATTTTATCATGTTAAATGATAAAAGGAGTTTTTGACATAAAGATTATATAATTATATGCACACAGAAACAAGAAATCACAACTATGATTGTGTGTTTATGAAACACACGTTCAGCTAACGAGCTGCTCGGCTAAAGGAGGCATCAGTTTTATCACCTTTCACTTAAAACCTATCAAATACACAACCCAACAACTCAAACAGTTGTGCAGACAAATTGTGATCCGTGCATTCAGCCACAGCAACACAAACAACATCTATTTGGTCACTAGTTAAATCAGTCCATTAAAGCAACACCTTCCTAAAATAATTGTGTAACTCCATTTTTTCAGCTAAGGACTTGGGTGATTATTTTAGGACAATGATAATAATTGTCAACAACCTGCTGCTACCTGTTTGTTTTTCATGTAGCTGCTGAGAGAAGCTAACGTGTCAGATAGTCATAGTTAGCATCTTGTGTGAGCTTCATGCAGTTTTTCCCTTGAGAAGTATTCCACCTGTTTCCACTACAACACACTTGTTTTATTTTTCTCAGTCAAATTCAAAGAAATCCTAAAGTGGACGTTGCTGCTTTCTCTCAACTTTTGTTGTGAATTAGCAGATGATGCTGAGCAGCAGCAGACTGTAAACAAGTGTTTTTACGGATAAACCTCTAGTTTGTGTTTAAGCTCCGCCCACTGCTCCTGCTGGAGTAACATGAAGTTGAGCTGACATGTCCCGGCTCATCTCCTCTGTTGGCTAAACCTCCACCATTCAAGTTCAATTAAAAATACTGAAATGAACTCCTGGACACGTCTAAGAGACTCTGGTTTCAAGTTTCTGTTAGCTGCAGCTTCTTTACCTGCACAGCCTCACCAGGGGCCTCATGTATCAACGCACAAAATCCTTGCGTACGTCATTTTCCACGCAAAACTCCGGATGTATCAAAACTGAACTGAAGGTGGAAATGTGCACAGCCCCACACCAACTCCAGGACTGGTGTCACGTTTCTGTGGTTCTGGTTCCACTGGAGACACTTAGAGGTGATTCTGAGAAACTGTTCATGATGTGAAAATGATTATTGTTCACAGCAGATACACATGATTAACAGTTACTACATCCGCATGATTAATAATTATTACATCCACATGATTAATAATTATTACATCCACATGGTTAACAATTATTACATCCACATGGTTAACAATTATTACATCCACATGGTTAATAATTATTACATCCACATGGTTAATAATTATTACATCCACATGATTAACAGTTATTACATCCACATGATTAACARTTATWACATCCACATGATTAACAGTTATTACATCCACATGATTAACAGTTATTACATCCACATGGACACAGTTAAATAAAAGACACACAAAGTTGTTCCAAAAACACATTTAACAGGAACAGATTCAGCCTTACTGGAGGATATAATAAATAGTGTAACACACAGAGCTTTTATTTATAAACAGATATAATTTTCTGATGACGAGTGGCTCATCAGCTGTTTTGAGGAAAAATAATTTTTAGTTTGCACTGCTGCACTCTGGGAGCATGACGCAGCGAGTAGCCTCGTGCACCACGTGTGCACGTGCAGCAGCAGTGATTGAACTGGGGTTCCACAGGAGCTTTCCAGAGGGAGCTGGCAGACCCATCAGGACTGTGTCAGTCCAGTCCACCCAGAGCTGAGTCATGACCAATGGAATCATCTCATCCATCTGAGTCTAAAGGCTGAGTTATGGTCGAGCTCTGGAGCGAGCACCCTCACCTGCAGTGGAGGTGTTTCATACTTGGTGTTTACGTTGTTGTAGATTTCTCCAAAATGACACGTGGAAGTTCACTTTACAACTTGTGAAAATGCTGTAAGTAGGAGAACAAAAGCTGGACAGACAAACAGACTGCACACAAAGGCTGCGGTGCTGCAGTGTTTGTGGAGACTCTCCAACATCACGTCACGTCATGTGAACTCTACTGAGACGCAGAGACTCGTTTCTTCTTATCAGCTATGAAATAAACTAAGATCTATGTTCTACCAAACATTTAAGTTCCTCTGTGTTTACAGTCATTATGGTGATAAACTCTGTGTTTACAGGAATTATGGTGATAAACTCTGTGTTTACAGGAATTATGGT